GGCCTACCAGCAGCAGGACCAATGGTAGGGTGGGGAGCCCTGAAGAGGGGCTGGCAGACAGCAGGAGATCATTACCATCCAGGGGCTGGGAAACTCTGTGGTTCTAGAACCACTCAGGTCCTGAGAGTGCTGGACCAGGGAGGTCCAACCCGTAGAATCATACTACCTCGAAGCTCTAGTCATGGACTACAATCCTATTATGCAAACACAAGCCACAAAGAGAGTTTCTGCTCCAAGGAGCTTACAGTCTAAGGCAAGAGACAACAGTTGGATAGTGACAGACAGAAAGGGGAGTACAGGAAAATAATGAGATAGCATTGATCACTTTAATAGGTAGCATTATCATTGCACAAGCAGCCTAGCTGTTGCCAAGAATTTTTTAGGTAGTAATTAGAGAAAACAAAGGTTTAATGGAGGATAATGAGTTAGTTTTGCAGATGTTTATCAAGCATTGCACTCAGGTGAGAGGAGTAGGAGGGGCAGGATGGGTAAAAGCATGAAGGTTCTTGTTTGAAAAGTTAACAAGTGGAAAAAAATTATATTACAGTAGTAAAAAAGATACTTTTTCACACAATGCACAGTCAACCTGGAGAACTCCTTGTCAGATGATGTTGTGAAAGCCAGGACTTTAACAGGGTTCAAAAAAGAACTAGCTAAATTGATAGAGGCTAGGTCCATCAATGGCTATTTGCCAGAATGGGAAGGAATGGTGTCCCTAGCCTCTGTTTGTCAGAAGCTGGGAATGGGTGAAAGGTGGGATTACTTGATGATTACCTGTTCTGTTCATTCTTTCTGGGGCACCTGACACTGGCCACTGTTGGCAGACAGGATACTGGACTAGATGGACCTTTAGTCTGACCCAATAAGGCTGTTCTTATGTTCCTATAATAGGTGAGACAGGGATGCTGTGAAGGGCTTGGAAGGTGATGATAAATAGCTTATGTTTGTTTCAGAAGAGAAGGGGGAGTTACTGAGGGATTAAAAGAAAGAGGTGACATAGTCCAAGTGAGAGACTAGAAAAATACTTTTGGCAGCAGCATTTTGAATGGGATGAGAGTAGCAAGAATGTGTTTGTCAAGGCCAAAAGTTCCAGTAACACAAGATGATAAGAACTTAGCTCGGTGATTGCAAAGGAAAGGACATGTTTCACAGATCTCATGCAGAAAGGATCTGAAAAATGTAAACATAACCTGGATGTGAGGGCTCAGAGGAAGGGCCAAGTCAAACTTGACACCAGGGTTACAGCCTTAGTGAGTATCAGAGGGATAGCCGTGTTAGTCTGAATCTGCAAAAACGAGGAGGAGTTCTGTGGCACCTTATAGACTAACAGATTTATTGGAGCATAAGCTTTCATGGGCAAAGACCCACTTCGTCAGATGCATGTAATGGAAATTCCAGAGGCAGGTATAAATATACAGGCATAAGAAAAGAGTACCAGTCAAGAGTAGGGCTAGAGATAACGACGTCAGTTCAATCAGGGAGGATGAGGCCCACTTCTAGCCGCTGATGTGGAGGTGTGAACAGCAAGAGAGGAGAAACTACTTTTGTATTTGGCTAGCCATTCACAGTCTTTGTTTAATCCTAAACTGATGGTGTCAAATTTGAAGATGAACTATAGCTCAGCAGTTTCTCTTTGAAGTCTGTTCTTGAAGGCGCTTTTGTTGCAGGATGGCTACTTTTAAATCTGCTACTGTGTGTCCAGGGAGATTGTTCTACCGGTGTTCTACCGGTTTTTGTATATTACCATTCCTGATATCTGATTTATTATTTTACATAGGACTTTCCATTTTGGCCAATGTATATAACAGAGGGGCACTGCTGGCACATGATAGCGTATATTACATTGATAGATGTGTAAATGAATGAACCCATGATGGTGTGGCTGATCTGGTTAGGTCCTGTGATGGTGTTGCTGGTGTAGATATGTGGGCAGAGTTGGCACTGAGGTTTGTTGCAAGGATTGGTTCATGAGTTAGAGTTACTGTGGTGCGGTGCATAGTTGCTAGTGAGAATTTGCTTCAGGTTCAGGCAGGTTGTCTGTGGGCGAGGACTGGCCTGCCTCCCAAGGCCTGTGAAAGTGAGGGATCATTGTCCAGGATGGGTTGTAGATCACTGATGATGCGTTGGAGAGGTTTTAGCTGAGGACTGTAGGTGATGGCCAGTGGTGTTCTGTTGGTTTCTTTGTTGGACTTGTCTTTTCGTAGGAGGCTTCTGGGTACACGTCTGGCTCTGTTAATCTGTTTCCTCGCTTCCTCAGTCAGGTATTGTAGTTTCAAGAATACTTGGTGAAGATCTTGTAGGTGTTTGTCTCTGTCTGAGGGGTTGAAGCAAATGTGGTTATACCTTAGTGCTTGGCTGTTGACAATGGATCGTGTGGAGTGTCCGGAATGGATGCTGGAGGCATGAAGGTAGGCATAGCGATCTGTAGGTTTTTGGTATAGGGTAGTATTTATGTGACCATCACTTATTTGCACTGTAGTGTCCAGGAAGTGGATCTCCAGTGTAGACTAGTCCAGGCTAAGGTTGATGGTGGAGTGGAAATGGTTGAAATTGCAGTGGAATACTTTCAGAGCCTCCTTCACAGGTGGTCCAGATGATGAAGATGTCATCAATGTAGCATAAATAGAGAAGTGGTGCTAGTGGACAAGAGCTGAGGAAGCGTTGTTCCAGGTCAGCCATAAAAATGTTGGCATATTGTAGGACCATGAGGGTGCCCATAGCGGTGCCACTGATTTGGAGGTATATATTGTCACCGAATCTGAAATAGTTGAGTTTTAGGGTAAAGTCACTGAGGTCAGCCACCAGTTGTGCTGTGGCATCATCAGGGATATGGTTCCAGACAGCTTGTATTCCATCTAGGGATGTTGGTGAGAGCTGTAGTAAGAGGGATGTTGGTGTTGTCCACAGTGATCAAGGAAGGAGGTAACAGGGAGGGCAGATTAGGACATCTGCTTTAACCACATTAAGATTAAGCTGAGGATTGAGGTCCACACAGAGATGGTACAGGCCACAATTTTAGTTTGGACTGGAAGAGATAGGTATGGGTCAGAGAGATAGACCAATGAATCATGAGTCATCAGAATGAATTTGAATTGTCATCAGAATAGTTGAATTTGTGTGTGCCAGTGAGAGTACCCAGAGATAAGAGAAGAAGAGAAAGAAATCAAGGATAGAGCCTTGTGGAATGCCCACTGAAAGTTGGAAGGGGGATGGGAAATGAGAATGATCCACTGAAAGAAGTGATCAGAGAGAGGGGAAAACAGAGTCATGGAATGTAAGGAAGGATAAGAATTCAAGAAGAGCAATGTCTTGACATTGTCAGTGACAGCTGACAGATTAAGGAGGATGAGGATGGAGTATTGGTTCTAAGTTTTGGCTAGGAAGATGTTATTTTTGCAAAAGCAGTTTGAGTGGAGTGTAAGAGGTGAAAGATTACAGAGGGTCTAGAATGGAATCAGAGGGAGGAAGTTGTGATTCTAAAGTGTGCGTTCAATGAGCTTACAGAACAGAGAAAGGAAATGGAGTGGTAAGCTAGAGAGGCAAGTGGCGTTGAATGGTATTGGTTCTAAGTTTTGGCTAGGAAGATGTTATTTTTGCAAAAGCAGTTTGAGTGGAGTGTAAGAGGTGAAAGATTACAGAGGGTCTAGAATGGAATCAGAGGGAGGAAGTTGTGATTCTAAAGTGTGCGTTCAATGAGCTTACAGAACAGAGAAAGGAAATGGAGTGGTAAGCTAGAGAGGCAAGTGGCGTTGAATGTGGCACTGAATATGGGGAGAAACTAAAGCATGCTTCTGTTGTGAAGGGAA